TGTGGCATTGAATGCCGAATTCAATTTCAAGTCGGCACGACTTGGTTGGAATGCACACACTAACAGCTCGTCGAGCGGGCCTATGTCCATAGATCTCAGCTATGCTGAGGACGAGGGAGATGAGCTCCGAGCCGCCGGGCAGCATACACAAATACGACGGTGTTTTGTCTGCGGAGACACCCTTCACCCTCGGAACGGTTGTCCCCTGCGCATGGCTCGTCAAGGTTCTTCGTACCATCGCCCCAACGCCTCCCAGTCTGGTTCGTCTCGGTCAAACGAAACCACTCAATAAGCATGGGGCGACCTGGTGGGGAAGAACTGAGGTCCGTTGAGCCTCAGGGAAGAAAAGGCCAACAGGGCTCAGTCCCGAAGAGCTCCGTGCTCTTGAACACGAACCGTGTATGCAAGCCGGGCTTGCTGGTCGCGGAGGCGACCGTAAATAGCTTCGAGAAGTCATGGAAAATCTTCATCGATTTTGGGGCGTCGGGCAATTATGCTCGACGGTCCACGATGAAGAGAAGTCAGCTGTATGCTGAGGCGCTGAAAGCGCGGTTGGGAGACATCGTTACTGTTCCCTTAGCGACGGGGACGCGTGTCACGGTCCCGAAGGTCCCTGTGGACCTCGAAGTCAAGTTTCTTGACTTTGATAGCGTGGAACGCTGTCTAGTCTTAGACTTGGATGACATCATCCTAGGAATGGCATGGTTGGATCACCATGAGCAATGGATTGATTGGAGGTCAAAGTCCAAGGACGCTCGTCTCCTGGCGGAGCTTTGGCGAGTCAAGAATACACCTCTGCCAGGAGATAAAAGCGCTATTGGCGAGAGCACTGGACCGAGTCGGTCAACGTGCTAGACATTCGAATGTCTGAGTTGGTAGACACCAACGGGGTATCGGACCATAGTCCCGAGCGTAGCTCGCGGGCTGATCGTGGAGTGACACGACCCCACTGAGCGCTGCTCGAGTATCAAAGCGGTCGCTGCATGTCATGCATGACATGGTCGGCCAAGGGCCGAGGAATCGAGGGCGAAGCCCTCGTGATGCGATTGGAGAGGCACGTTATCCTCTGGACGAAGACTGCGGAGCTCGCAGCTCTTTGGCGGATGTTGTTGATAGCTTCAGGGATCCGGTGTAGCAGGAAGTCAGAGAGTGAGGCTGAAAATTAGTGTTTAGTGCGTGTACACTGGTCTAACCGAGAGGTACAACCTGTGTGAAGAGGCGACGGCGATTCTTTATGCTAGCTGCAAGACACCAGCGTCGACATTGGTCCTGGATGTGTCTACCGTGGACGATAGCGCACAGCTATACATTCTCGTCAACGGTATGACGAGGGAGGAAGACGTCGACGTCACCCACATGCTTTTCCAGTGGCGGATGCTCTTCTTGAGCTAAACGAGATATCCATCAAAAATTTAAGCGGTGCGCTGAAGGCAGGCAACTTAGCCGAAGTGATCATTATACGACCGGAAGAGGAGATCATCTCGTTGTCGCGTCTGTATAGAGCTGTCCTGGATGATACCATAAGGGTGCTGAACGTAATGTGGATCTTCGATCCTAAGGAATTCCTTGGATCCTTACTGCCCTTTGGCGAAAGAGGCTGAAGACATCGTCTCCAAAGATCTGCCGTCGAATCTACCTTTGGACCGAGGTGAGTTCATGAGATTGACCTGGTTCCGGGAACCAGATACTTTGTAACACGCCAATGGCTCCTGCCCATTGATCATTGCGACGACATTGATGCCTTCTTCCGTACGTAGCACGACGCAGGAATTGTACGTGAGAGCGAGTCTACTCATTCGACAACAACCACGTTTTGTGTCCGGAAACCGAACGGCAAGTGGCGTATCGATCACGCTTACAATTAGCTCAACACTGAATAATGTTCTCCAGAACAACATAGTTGGATGTACAGAGTACACTGCACTCGATTTGGTAGATGGATATTACCAATTGCTCGTGAGATCGAGTGAAATTCCGCTGACAGCGGCAAGTACTTCGAGCGGTATGCTCTTGGAGTGCTGGTGATGCCTTAAGGGCTGTCAGATACACTAGCAACATCTAATCGTCCTGTG